ACTGTTTTTATGGAAAAAGCATAGTATGTTATAACCTCCGACTAAATTAACGGTAAGTGTGGGAAATTGGCTTGACTGGAGGGGCAGAGAATAGTAGCACTCCGCTCTGGTGCTCATCTGAATTCTAGCGAAATGAGTAGGAGGAAGAAGACAGACCTTTCCACGAGTAGTCAGAATACAGAGTCTTGCAAACCTAAATATAAAAGTAAGGTTGTGATAGTCACAGTTTAATTGTGTATTATTTACTTTTCTAAGGCCAGAATAGGGAGTGGTGGGGTAGGGTGGCGATGGCACTAATATTACAGTGAATACTTATTGAGGACACACTTTGTGTCATGTACTGTGACAAATATTCTACATATAATATCCCGTGTCCCCTGTAGGTAGAAATGATATTTCCCTTCTACAGAAAAGTGACTTTACACTGAAGAGTTGTTGGAATTTTAAGACAAGTCTGTGAATCCACTCAGTGTGTTTTACAAGATTGTTTCCTGAGAATAGGGAGAGAATAAAGGTGCTTAAAGGTATAAAGATTAACTGGGGGCAAAGCTCCCCAGTTTGCAAAGTGTGCTTAGTAATAGGATATTTGAATATTACATAATTTTAGCCACTTCTGACCAATATTCACTTACTGCATTGTAAGTTTCTAGTTTGTAGCACTTTTATGCTATTAATATGTATAACTTAATGCTTTCCCAAATGTTAGAACAAAATTTTTTTGCAAGACCACTACCTTGGCCTCCACTGTTGGACTGTTGAAGTTATCAAATCTAAAGTGGCTGCTAATTTAGCAAAACGAGACAATTGCCAAAATCGCATTTATGCTGAGCAGCAAACCCTGAGTTTCATCAGAGGAGACTGCTACTGATTCATAACAATAGGGATTTTCTCTAATAGAAATGCAGCTGGTGGCCATGGGAAATCATCTTTAATCCCTATAATAAGTTCAGTAGCTGTCACAACATTTTATGACAATTCAGGCTTATTTTTAACTACTCTGTTAGCCTATTGTGCAGCATTTATAAACCCACACCCAGCTGATAGTTGATCTTTGAACAAATGGAGTGAAATGGAGTGGGGGAGTGGTTTAGGAGTGCCGACCCCCTTGCAGTTGAAAATCCATGTGTAATTTATCGTTAGCGCAATGTATTGTAGGTTCTGTATTTGTAGATTTAACCAATTTTGGTTTAATCCATGACCGTGAAACCCTTGGATTAAAAACAATCAGAGTGTAAGTAGATCTGCACAGATAAAGCCCATGTTAATCAAGCGTCAGATGCAACATCGCTCCATTTATTTGCCTTTACTTCCTTTCCTTTTTGTTTTCACTGTTTTGTTTCATGACACAACATCAGCCACTCAAGCCAGAACACAAGGTCATTGTAACTCCTCACAACCTCTCCTCAACATGTTTCCCAAATGTGTCTCTTGTCTAGATTCCTGTCATCTCTGACTATTTCAGGCCTTCACCTTCTCTTTCCTGGACATGTCAACAGCAGCCTGACGAAGCCCCCATCTGTCTCCAGATTTTTCTCCTCAAGCAGTTTTCCATACAGTCAAGCATCTTCTCTTTAACCCAAAGACTGGCCAATCTCAGCCTGTGTGAAACCTTTCCAGCCTCGCCTGCCATCTCATCCTCTTAGCCATGACCTTCCAGCAATGCTGACCAGTATTTTGCCGTCAGAATTGCTTGACCCCAAGTCACAACAGATTGTGAAGAGTCTCAACAGATTGTGAAGACACTCAAAGCTGAAATCTGAAATTCTCCTCTCCTGTCTCACCCTCTGCTCCCCTCAGCAGTGTATTTCTGTCGTCTGCCTGTTCTGCTCCCTGCTGTCTCTGATGAATCCTCGCACCCTCCCACGCCTCTGACCTGTATCCCAGCTCTTGTATAAAAATAAATAAATCTTTTTTTTAAAAAAGTAAATCTTTATGTTCTGCTCATGGTGCTAAAGAATCACTTGCCTAATTCAGGTTCCTCTTTCTCAGGAGCATGAATACAACAGGTGATATACCCATTGGACCCCTACTTGGAGGTTTCAAACTTGGATGACTTGGGAAAAGACTGTTCCAGGGACACAAATAAGGAATTTTCAGAAAGAGCCTTTCAGCTAAGGACAAGGAGCCCTTGACTATAATAAGAAGAAGGAGGTTAACTCAGAAAGAGTTGAAGAACTTCTGAAACTGTAGAGAGTCAATACAGAGCTACAGCAAAGTACAACATAGGTCACAACCAAAGGAAAGGAAGATCAGCAGCAAAACAGACAAATTTTAATTTCTGGAGAAATCTAATCAGCTCATGCTGGAAGGGTTGGGTGGTCAAGATGAGAAGTGCTTCTGTCTAATACATTCACACCTCTACCCTGTGCTTCGGTTGTCACCAGTCAGGTTCTGTGGAAGTAGGGGGCAAGATGGTTATCTGGGGTCTACCCCTATGAAGGAAAAGGAAAAGCAGGATTGCACAGAGGAAGAATTTGAATAAAGCTTTGACCCATCAGTTGAAAAATTGTTTTGTGGCAGACAGAATGCCTGACTTTTATATACCCCCACCTACTTTTCTCCTGACACAGGCTGCCCTGAGGATTGACATCAAACAGAGGAGAAAACTCTCTGCAGCTAATGCAGGCCCTGAAAGGAGTGGGCAGTTGGAGACGCCGTGTTACCAGCACTTTCTGGAGAAGGGATGCAAGGTCTTTCTCGAACGAGGACCTGGGTGGTGATCTCTGTCTACCTGCAAGTGAACCTCACCATCGTTATATAGGATGGTTTTTAAAAATGGTTTCAGGATTTATTTCTTTATAACAAAAAAATTATTTTTGTTGTTGTTGTATTTTATTTTATTTTTATATTCCCCATACAATTGCAACCCCTTTATTTTGACCCCAAGCCCTCCTTTCCCCGCCCCCCAAGCCCCATAGAGTGCCTCTGGTTCATAGTTGTTTGTTGATTTTGATTTTTACTTTATTATAGTTATTCTTTTTCCTGGTCCCTTATTTAAGTTTTCTAGATTCCTGCTATGAGTGAGACCATCCGGTATTTAACTTTTTCTTTCTGGCTTATTTCGCTGAGCATGATCCCTTCCAGCGCCATCCATGTTGCTGCAAATTGCATGTGTTTATCTTTTTTGAATGCTGAGTAATATTCCATGGTATATATGTACCACATCTTGATCCAGTCATTTATTTTTGGACATTTGGGTTGTTTCCAAAGCTTAGCTATTGTAAACAGGGCTGCTATAAACATAGGGGTGCAGGTGCTCTTTGGAATTGATGTTTCTGTGTCCTTTGGGTAAATACCTAGGAGTGGAATTGCTGGATCATATGGAAGCTCTATGTTTAGTAGGTCAAGAAATCTCCACACAGCTCTCCATAGTGGTTGGACCAGTTTGCACTCCCACCAGCAGTGCAGGAGAGTTCCTTTTTCTCCACACCCTCGCCAACATTTGTTGTTGCTAGTTTTTTTAATATGTGCCATTCTCATTGGTGTGAGATTTTGATTTGCATTTCCCTGATTACAAGTGATGTTGAACATTTTTTCATATGCCTGTTGCCCATTTGCATTTCCTCTTCAGATTAGTTTCTTTTTAGCTCTTCTGTCCATTTTTTGACTGGATTATTTTCTTTGTTGTTGTTGAGTCTCATCAGCTCTTTGTAGATTTTTGTGATTTCAGTCCTTTATCTTTAGTGTTGTGTGCAAAAATGTTCTCCCAGTCGGTGGGGTTTCTCTTTAACAAAAACTTTCTTTACTGAAGTAACATTGTGTTGTAACATTATGTTTCAGGTGAACATCATTATAAATCAAAGCCTATATACCACATTAAATTCACCACTAAAAGATCAGTTCTAAGGGAATTATGCTTAGTGAAATAAGTCAGATGGAGAAAGACAAACAGCATATGATTTCACTCATGGTACATGAAGAAACAAAACAAATGAATGAACTAAATTCAACAAAAATAAACTTTAGAGTATAAGACCGTATTAATGCTTCCCAGAGGGGAAGGGTAGAGGGGAGGGTCAACCAGGTAAAAGGGGTCACTTGTATGAAGAGTGGAGTCTTAATTTTAATTTCTCTCAACAAACAAAAGGTATTCCCTTTTCAGTAAAGAATCCTATACATTTACTGTTGAATTTGAAATTATCAGAATTTATATTCCATGGATTACCAAGGGGTCAACATTTTATTTTTGGGTGGGCTAGAGTCAGCACTTCATTTTTTCATTCCATAAATACATATGAAATATTCATTGCATGGAAGTCTCTGGAAATTGAAATATGAATAAGGATGCTTTACCTCAAAAGTCATGGGAGTTAGATTCTAATGAGGAGACAGACAAAATTGACAAATAATTAAAACAAAGTGGTAAGAGTTAAAAAGACAGGTACAAACAAGATGTTATAGAAGGACAATGAAGGAATAAGTGTCTGCAGTATCCTCCGGGATAGTTTGACTGCAGTATCCTCTGGGAAGAGGAGACATGGGCTCTGACCCTCAAGAGACAAGAAGTATTTGCATAGGAATATTAGAGGAGGAGGGAATTGCGTGTGTAAAGACCGAGAATGAAGGCACCTCATGAATCAGGAAAACCAGAGTTGACATGACTGAGGCACAGTTTGTGTTTAGGAAGTATTGGAATAGATGTTTGGGAGGAAATATGTATCATTGTATTTATTCATATTTATTAATACAATTTCCTGTGTATGTTTTATCTAATGAGTATTTCTCCACTATATCTAATCATTGCTTTGTGAGTTTGTTTTTTGCAATACCATCCCTCTGCAGAACATTCTTTGGGAAATGTTAAAATACTGTGATTGAGTGTGCTGGGCCATCTAGGACATAAACCTGTTCTAGATCTAGTAACTGGACTGGTCTGTTCTGACTTGATATTAACAGATAAGGAAAATGGTATCTGCTGCAGTTCCTGGGAATGCTACAGTGGTCTCTCTCATTCTTAGAGAATGGAATACTGAATCTGTTATATGGAATACCATCTCTCTGTCATAGAGAGTCCATAGCAACCACCCAGTTCAGGTCTCAGTCAGGGAGAGTAGAAACTGACTTTGACACTTTCTGGTGCAGGAAAGCTGGTCTAAGGAAGCTAAGGAAGACAATCCGTTGACACAGCCAAGACTGTAGCCATGGCATCTGTATCATTTCGAGAGCCAGTATCTCCAACAGTGGGGAAACACATGATTGTTACAGGTAGGGTCTTTGTGTATGCTTCATGAGAACTAAACTTCTTTACTCCTTACCTATATGGCACTCACATAAGGGATATAAAAATAAACTAATCACATATGTTTATTTTCTAAAATACAGTTAATTATGTGCACACTTAGTCTGAGCATGGACCCTGTGTTGCCCTAAACAATTCTATCTGAGCTAGCTTCCACAAGGAATATTTTTATACCATAAAGTTTATGTTATACATAACAAGAACTACTTTGATATTAATAAAAATGTAATTTTGGTCAGATTTAAATGTTAATGATTTAAGTTTCTTATATTTTTATAAACTTGACATACTTGGTTGATATAAATTTAAGCAAACTGTTAAACCTAGTAATACTAATGATTTGTATTTTATTCCTTTAATGGCTTTAAATGATTTGCATGTAATAATAAAATGTAATTAAATAGAACATGAGTAATCGTGACACTTAAAGGAATAAATTAAATTTCATCTTATTTCCTTTATATCTGAAAATCATGAACATGTTTTAGCTGTAAATTCCCGCTCCACTCATGAGAAATCTGGTTCCAGATATTTGCCAACCATTTACTTGTTTAATTCCAGTAACATGTGTACAAGACTCAGATTTGCCGGCCTGCATGCTCTAGAAAATCCTTTATCAACTAAGAACAGAATTCCTTGCACCCAGTTTGCCTTTAGATTTAAAGACTACTCCCTTTCAAAATTATAGAGGTCCGTACCTTCTTTCCCAGCTCCCCCTCCTGCAATGAGATTTTATAGGTTTGCAGTACAGTCAGAGTCTCTTGTCACAGTCTAAGTTCCTTCCTGGAAATCTCCCAACCTCCTAAATGATTTTTAAAATTTCATATATATTCATCAAGATTTGCTCTTCGTGCTATAGGTTTTGACCACGAAGCCACCATTACAGTTTCATACAGAAAGTTCTCACCACTCTAACCCCTGTGCTTTTCTGTGGGTTCCTATGAGCTGGCTATGAGCGGGCCACTCATTGGGCAACTGTGACCTATTTGCTATCTACAAATCACAGCAGAGCATGCCTGGACTACCTACGACAGTAGCCCGTATCACGAGGCAGGCCCGGGGACGCATAGGCCACTGTTGACCTGATCATGTGACTATCTCCGTGGTGGTCTCGGGATAACTCTGCCAGTGATAACATCATACTTTGCTGACGCAAATGTCTCTTGACGCACAGTCACGATGTTCCCTTCCCTGCCCCTCGTAAAACTTTGTCCCCCATTCCTATCCCACCCTCTGGACTTTAGTCTTTATACCATTGTCCCATGACCAGCTTTGACTAGCCTGCATGCTTTCAATAAATGGCACAAGATTTTCTGCTCAGGTAGCAGAGTCTTGCCTTGCAAACCTGCTCCACGACTCCTATGTCCCTCACTAGTTCCTGAAGCAAAGTGGCAACAAAGTTCCTGTGGCAACACTTTACCTGTTCATCCCCCAGTCTCTCTGTCTCTGACCTCCTGAGAACCATGGATCTTTTCACTGTCTCTGTAGTTTTGCTTTTTGCTGAAATCATATAGCTGGAATCATATGTAGCTTTTTCAATTGGACTTTTTCCACAGGCCAGTATGCATTTAAGTTTCCTCTGTACCTTTTCATGGTTTGAACGCTCATTTTTTCCCCCCTAGGATAGTATTCCATTGTATGATATACCACAAATTGTTTATCTGTTTTCTTATTGAAGGATATCCTGGCTTCTTATAAACTTTGACAAGAACATCTATAAACATACTAAAAAATTAGGCCACAAACTTTGCAAGATACAAGATGAACATGAATACGATGTTCTCTTTCTTGTAGAAGTTTATAATCTAGTGTTCTGATTAGAATATTATAGGTTCTCCTGTTAATCCATTTGTTTAATTTAAATGTCCATTAAAACATGGTGTGACCAGTGAGAATGGCACATATTAAAAAATCTAGCAACCCCCCAGTGGCGCAGCGGTTTGAGCACCGCGCTGTGAAGCTGTCCACAGCCTCTGCAGCATGTGTTCAATTGCTGGTCGGCCAGGGAGATACCCACATGGCGCAGCAGACTTCTCCTTCCTGCCCTGCTGCTCCCCTCAGCAGTGTCTTTGGTCCATCTGCCTGTTCTGTTCCGTGATCCATCTCTGGTGAATTCTCTCACTCTCCCACGCCTCTGACCTGTACCCCGTTCTTGTATAAATAAATAAATCTTAAAAAAAAAAAAAAACTAGCAACAGCAAATGTTGGTGAGGATGTGGAGAAAAAGGAACTCTCCTGCACTGCTGGTGGGAGTGCAAACTGGTCCAAACACTATGGGGTGCTGTGTGGAGATTCCTCAGTCTGCTAAAGATGGAGCGTCCATATAATTCAGCAATTCCACTCCTAGGTATTTACCCAAAGGACACAGAAACATTAATTCAAAAGAGCACCAGCACCCCTGTGTTTATAGCAGCACTATTTACAATAGCTAAGCTATGGAAACAACCCAAATGCCCAAAAATAGATGACTGGATCAAGAAGATGTGGTACATATACACAATGGAATATTACTCAGCAATCAAAAAGATAAACTCATGCAATTTGCAGCAACTTGGATGGAGCTAGAAGGGATCATGCTCAGCGAAATAAGCCAGAAAGAAAATGAAAAATACCAGATGGTCTCACTCATAGCAGGAATCTAGAAAACCTAAATAAGGGACCAGGAAAAAGACTAATTATAATAAAGTAAAAATCAAAATCAACAAGAGAACTATAAACCAGAGACACACTACGGGGTTGGGGGGGTGGAGCGGGGGGAGAAGGGAATAGGATCAAAACAAGGGGGGTGGGAATTGTATGGGGACTATAACCAAGATGAAAATGCATACATTGTGCAAAAATGAAAAATGATGTAAAAAATATATAAAATTAAATAAAATTTTAAAAAAACATGGTATGGATTGAAAGGAAACACAAACCCAATCCAAAGGCCCGAGAAATAATGGAAAACAAGTGGAAAAGGAGGAAAATTACCTTGCATAATACTCCACAAAATCAAGCCATATGTTTTGGCTTTTTTCCCCTACTCATTTCTTTTCCTTTGAATATCATACTGAGAGCATCATGAACTCCTACTTCACAGATGGATCTTAGAAGTTACTTTGCAGTTCACAAAGGATAGAGATTCTTTTTGAAAAACTGTGAGTCCATTTTTTTAAAAAGTTGACATGTGACATATACTTTATTAAGCACATAAATCCAGTGCTCAGCTTGATAATATTTTACAAAGTGAACAATACCTATGTATCTACTTTTCAAATCAAGATAGTAAACATTTTTATAACCCTAAAAATTTCCTCTATGTCCTTTTCTAGTCAATACCTTCACAGTCAAACATGGTTTGATTTCTATAATCCAGATATATTCTTAGTACTGTGAGTTTAATATGATAGCTTAAATTATCTGTATTTTTTTAATATTTTATTGGCTGGTTTATTCTTCCATGTAAGTTTTATTATCAACTTGTTAACTTTTATTATACAGTAAGGAGATTTTAAAGATAGCACTGTTTTACTTTACAAAGATTTTATTCTAAAAACTAATGATAAACAAAATTACAGATTTTAAAAATATATTAAAGCTTGATGATGAATTTTTACAATATCTGTTTATTTACAAATGATATCACTTGTTTACCCAGTTCCAGGTCCTATATTTTAAAGTTACAATTTACATTTATTTAAAAACACATACCTAACTCAGATCTTTTTAAAATGAATTCCCACTGGTTAAAATTAAAGAGATTTATGGAATAATAAGGAATGTTAAATTTAAAAGGTACCATAACAGGTAATCTAATTTAACCTATCATTTTTCAGATGGGAATTCTGAGGTGTTCAGAGAGCTAAGTGATTTCCTCAAGTGCACACAGCCTTGATTAGAAGCTTATATATGACTAGAAGCTTATATACGATTTTATATACGTGTTTATGTGTGTGATATGCAGATTGCTCACTAACTGAAAATAGATATGCCTTTAGTCCTTCATCGTGTATCGACCAGAAGACCTACTCATGTAAACTAGGAATATTGCAGAGTTCTGTCTTATAAAGGAGTCATCACATCATGGGACTTTTGTTAGAAATATGTCAGAATTGGAAATACTCTCTAGGAAATAGCCAAAACCCAATATGATGAATGAAACGCTAAGTGGCAGGAGCAGTACATAAATGTGCACGTAATTTTGAAAAGCATTGCTCCATGAGCTTGGGTTTCAGATCCATTTGTTCATCTCATTTTTTGCCTGTGAAACTGTCACACTAATAGTTATGTCTCAAATTCAATTATTTCAAAAATAGAAAATGATTCACACTGAACTGCCAGTGCTTTACCGCTTCGAGAATAAAATAGTCTTGTTGCAAATTCAGCTTAGGTCTCATCACTATAATTCATAAAGCAAAGATTTTATATTTTTAAAAACTAATTCATGACCAAAACTTACATATTTTACTGGCATGGACACAGTTGGCTGACTGATTTGCATTTTATTCTGTAGTCCCAGCGTATGATTTGCCCCGAAATCAAAATTTATCTACAAGTGACAGCAGTTACCAAATTAATCTTACCTTAAATTGTTGGTCATCTAAATCATCACCAATGTGATCTGCAGGAAAATAACATTAGCTGTGCCATCGATTTGAAAAGAACCTCCCAAGCCCTGAAAGGAAGACTTGTGAGCATAGACTCTGTCTTCAGATTTTTTCTGTGTTAACACATGTAGGGTACTTAGAACAGTGTTCAGCATGAGGTGTATGTATGTATACACACACATATATAGTATATTGCATGTATACAAACAGCATATTATGTAGGCACACAGTATATTATATACACACAGAGTATATTTTATATAGAAATAGATATAGATAAATGGTTGTCCTCTGACATAGATGACTAGCAATATAAGTAAACTGCTGGGTACAGGGCCCAGAAGATAAAATATTTATCATGTTAACAATTATAACCA